TTCAGGCTCCTGTGTCAACCAAAAAATGTGTTCTTAAAATTTTTCATATACAAGGAGGCGACAATTATTTTGGCATTCGTCACCACACATGCTTGGTCATCTAGTTTTCCAATTTAAAAGTGCAATTTTTGTTGCACTTAATGGTTTTTTCGCCAAACTTGGTGTGGTACCAGCACATGGATGTGTTTACCCTTTGTTTATTCATGGGCAAGGATCTAGATCTAGAATTAGAACGAGCACAAGAATACAACATAAAAAGTTTATCTACTTTTTTATTTAAATCAGATATTTGTTTCTGTAAATTATCTAAAGCATCACTTGTATCAGTAGAATTAGTTACTTTCGATTTGACGTCCATTGCATGAACCTGAGCAGGATTTGTGGTGTCAGAGATTTTGTCAGCCATAGCTGCTAATTTTTTAAGTTTGATATCAGAAGAGGCCAATATATCTTCCATCTGGGCTGGAAGGCATTGAAGCCACAAAGAGTTTAGTAATTCAGTTCCGATGAGAGGTCCCGCCAGTTTGTCGCCTAAATCCATGTCTCTCAAAAGTTTTTTAAAATTTTTGTTCTTCAGAGTCAGAAAATACTTCAATTAATCTTTTTTTAAGAGTGTCATAACCATCAATAACTGGAGGAGGATCAATTATATCACTTACCTGAAATTAAGATTTTCAGTCTCGATGTGGCCTACCACTATATGGTATTTTGTGATATTGGCAGTTATCCCACTGTTAAAGAATTGACTTTCAATCTGGCAAAACCAAAGACTTTAATTATCTTTCCAAAACAGCGGTACTTTAACTGAGATTCTGTTGATTTCATGTGCTTGCGTTGAAACAATAGTATCATCGTTAACAGACATGTTCGAACGATTAAAAACGTGTTCTTAATACCGTAGTCACCAATTTGGGGTCTCATTTAAGTGACAAGGTTGTATATATACGGCCTAGAATATTTTTTGTGATATCCGTAAGAACGTATATATACATGCATATTAAAATATGTCAAAAAAATTAAGGCAGTATATCAAAAGAAAACAAATCCAGGTAGGAAATACCAGAAGAGTTTTTACATTAAAATAAAAAAAAAAAAATAAGGTACTTTACCGTTTTGCCGGCGCAAGCGATAAAGTCGCCAATAATGGTACAACCGATGCCAAATGGAATATTCTTGCTGGTAACCTTTTACGCCTCATTTTCAAAACAAGTCGCAACCATTTCTTACCAGATTGATTGTTTCTTTCAATACTGGCATATAATTTTACCAGATAGTTCAGTTTTATGTCTAAGGCCATTTTCGGTTATTAAGTCAATTAGGATGCAATCACAGCTCTTACCCGAAGCCAAAAATATAGAAAAGGAAAGTCAAGGGTTAAATTCATCAATTCTAATGAGAATGCATTAGTGAAGTAAAGCACTGCAGTTTTACATAATTTCTGAGTAAGCTATTCGTACGCATTGAAATATTTCTTGCATTTAAACTTGTGTTCCAAATTAAGATTTAACTTGAAATTAATGTAAATAATTACTGAGAGCATTAGATTTTTGTAGAGTAGTTTACGTAAGATGAGATCGCTTGGGGTCACGTGATATGAACTGGCGAATCAGGATGTTGAACCATGAAAGCATAGTAAATTCTTAAATTAATATATTTTTACAAATTTATTGTCTTTATTTATTGGCTTTAGTTTTAAGCGATATTAAAATGTTTATGCCTTCAAAAAAAGAATTCTTAGAACTAAAATTTTTTTAATATTTTTTATGCGTATACTGTATGTTGTCGCCAAGTCTGCTTGGCGAGATTTGCGCCGGCGAAACGGAAAAGTACCAAAAATAATTTGTGCTTCTTAGTGAAAACCCTGGCCGCTCAGAGGGTTAACTGCTAGACATCCATTTAGAAAAATAAACTCTTTTAATAAATCCAAATATATACATAGCATTAGGATAACATAAATCTCAGCAATGAATACAGTGTGTACGTGGACTTGTAAATACAGAAGGCAAAAGTTCTCTTTTGGCAGTCACGCAGAGATGAGATTCTTATTGCGCAAGTGCCAGGAGGAGAACTCGAGGCGCTGAATAAATGGGGGAGGGGAGGTAGTCCCACAATACCTTACACCTTTTTTGGAAATTGAGTGAAGGAAGTCAGGGAACTGACCAATATAGATGATTAGAAACACATTTCTGGAAAAGTCAATTCAGGAAAATTTATATATCATATAGCACAGCAGACTTGCCAGCCCAAACTTGTGACTGGTTGGACATTTTGCAAAGTCAGTGGTGGGAGAGTCCAACCTGGTTGATGGAAGGAAAGAGTCTCTTTCCCAGTATCAGAATTAACTGTTCCAAAGGAAGCACTTTTGAGGCAATGCAAGACAGTTGTCATGCTTCCAGTCACTGAGAAAGAAAAGAAATGTAGTGAAAGATTTTTGTATTTTTCAAGCTACGAAAGAATTCTCCACATGACTACTTATGTTTTGAGATTTTGTAATAACGTCAAGCCAAACTCTTAAGAAGTTGAAAGAGGAGGTTTCATATGAAGAACTGAAATGGCAAAAAGCACTCAGATAAAAATCATCCACTTTGAATGGCCTTCTGAAATGTATCAGAAGTATAATAATACAATACAGTTTTACATAGAGAATGGAATTCTAAAGGTTTAAACAAGATTAATTCTCAGTCAAGATACAGAGAATTTTATATATCATATAGTTTTACCAGACCATCCCCTTCTAGACAGACTGATATTGCTTACCAAAGCTTTTTGATGCACACTGGAGTATTAACATCACTAACACAACTAAGAGAAAGATTCTGGAACCCCAAAAGAAGAAACGAAAGTTACTATTTGCAGTTATCAAAAGAGTTTTACAACAATAATGTATAACAGTGTACAACAATGTATACAATGCAAGAAACTGAGTTCCAGAAATATTAACCCAGATTCAGCTCCTTTACTGCCAGACAGAATACGAGTTGTGGCATTTCGTGCAGATCTGATTGGATCTCTTTTCGTACTTGGAGGAAGCAAAGCATGGATAGTACTTTACCTGTGCTGTCTATACAACAGTTGGAGCTAGTCTCTTTCCTGTCCAATGAAGCATTTATGAAAGTGTTATGAAGATTTTGGGCAAGGAGATGAAGATGTTCTACTTTTCATACTGATAATGGAACTTTACAACAGCTGCAAATACTTTGAAATCTCTGGACTAAGATTTCATTCAAAGGGAGTGTGCTTTAATAAAAAGTATGTAAATATTCACCATCCATCTGCCTGATGGTATGGCAGGTTTGGGAAAAGAATGGTTCATTTTGTCAAGGAAAGTGTTTGGGAAAATCCTACATCAATTATAAAAAATGTTGACTTTGCTGTTTGATTTGAGGCCACTATAAATAGACGACCACTGACATATTTGTCAGACGACCCTAACAAATTGTGACATCTTATGCTTGCTCACTTTATTTAAAATTTAGGTGAAGGAGAAACTATTGAGCTGGATTTAATTGACTCTCAACACTTACTGAAACTAGCGTTACCTTCATATCTTGTGGCTAAATCTACAAAAATATTTCTATAAAGAATATACTGGGGAATTGGTAAGAAGTCCAAAATCATCTTTCTCCGCTTCTTCATAAGAAATTCTAGTTGAGTCAAAGAATCCAAACAGGATAAATTAGCCTTTAGTACAGATAATTAAAATGTTTCCTGGCAAAAACAATATTGAACCATGTTGCAAAACTATGATTAGCCAATGGTAAAATCATGCAACCCTCCCAGCAAATTTATTCTTTGGAGCTTATTTCTGCTGACAACATATTTAAAGAACCACAGAAAACTAAGCCTATCCCAGAAACTAGTGATAACAAGGTTCCAGAAGATCTAAAGGTAACTCGAAGTGGTCGCCAAGTAGTACTTGTCAAATGCATGGGCGTGTGAACTGCTACTAATGTTTCTCCTAATATTTGATGATGGTAATTTGTGCATTTATTATTCTTTAATGTTATATTTACACATTAATAGTTCAATTTTATATATCATATAGTTTTACCAGACCATCCCCTTCTAGACAGACTGATATTGCTTACCAAAGCTTTTTGATGCACACTGGAATACAATAGTTCAATTTTATTTCATGTGTTACAATTTATGTCTAGCATTATATATGTACATTTTTTCCTTGTTTCATTGTGTATTGTTTTAAGGTAAAATTTGGTTGCAATACAAAAGATGGGATGTTGCAAAACCTATTAAGTTTTACGTTTCCTGCTTCATATTATTTAATCATTTATTCTGCAATTTTCTTTGATCTATGAATATGGCAAACCACTTTGTTTTTGGAATATTATGATCGGGAAAATTTATTACCTTTCTATGCAGCGTTTAATTTACACTGCAGAACATGTTGAGTGTTATGCATAATTAAGACATACATTATCATTTGATCATTATGTTAAACCATAGATGTAAATAGTCTCATTAATCTCTGTGTTTTTGTGTAGTGAAAATAAATCTAATATTAAAGGAAGTTGGAATTCTGAGTCTTAACATTTTCAACAAGTAAAGCATGATTATCTTTGAACATTTATTTTTCTGATTAAATAACAGGATTTAAAAGTAGTTGTAAAACGCTCGTACAATTCCAAGTTCAGAAGTTTTGGTATGTTCAGAAGTTCTCTTGTATAGCATAGAAATCTGTAAAAACATTTTCATGGATGATGTTTCTAAACCTCATATCATTACTTATTTTGTTCTAAATAATAAGCACATTCCCTTATGTATGAAAATTCTGTCTATGAACAGAAAGCAAAATCCCATCTTCTTTATTATATTACCAAGTTTATAAGTTTGTTGCATTGCCAAATTATTTCTTTATTGTATTATACGGCTTTGAAATTCTACTTTCAATGGTTTCTCTTGTAAAAGAACTTAAATATGTTCACTAAATATAACTTCTTTGCTTGTTCAAAATGACTAATTAAAATACTATTTTTTCACAGCTGTACATATTAGACTTGCTGCAGAAAGAGAGGGAAGATACAACATTTTCTAGAAGTTGTTTATTTTGTAAGCAACACTTTGTTGGTAACAGGTTAGTATTGCAAAATTGTAGTTTTATTTAATGCAGTGTTTATGCTTTTATTCTGCTTATGTAATACTTATTATTTACATATTGAGTTAATCTGTATTTTAGGGTGCCCCTTGGATTGTCGTCAAGCTGTTGTTTCATTTATCACCAAATTTTTGTTTCATTTATGGTAAGAGTAGTTGAATGTTATGGAAACCCTATTATGACATGATTGGTTGTGTGATTGCAGTGAATTTGACTGATGGGGAAATATTGTAAGAGCTTATTTTTACGTTGGATGTCAGTTAGGAGTACATTCTGTATTTTGTGCTTTGCATCGTAAAATGGCTGCCAGTGGTAAACTGGGTGTTTGGTGGTATAGAGCAAGAGAGCAGAAGTTTTTTTTTTTTTTAAGTGATTGAGGTTAGAAGAAAAGAAACTTTGTTGGATGTAATTCAACAGAATATTTTACCTGGAACAACAATCATATCCAACTGCTGGAAGTCTTAGGAATTTTTTTTTTTTTTTTTTTTTTTTATGTCTTCAATCACTTAGTAAACCATGCAGTGACACTTAAGGATCCAGAAACTGGAGTTCAGAAATTTTGTATGCCACAGACTGAAGACACAGAAATTTCTAAGTATGGCAGAAGAAATTTCTAAATAGTCGAATATTTCTTTTTTGTAGTGCGTTTATGCGATAATATGTATTTCCTTTTTTATGTTCTTTCATTGTGGGATTTAAAATGCAGTTTATTGAGCTTCAGTTAGCTACAAATTTTACTGATGAGTAACTTTGTTTTAGCATTTAGGGCAGCGCTATTCTCCTGATTTTTTTAAAGTAAAAATAGATTGATCTGCGCATGGGCAAAGTGAAGGGAGTGCGCAATGCCGAGTTTGTGCAATTTCTGGTGTTTTTGTAAGTGAAAATAGATCAATGTGTACAGGGACACTGAGTTTGTGTATTTCTTTGACTTGTTATTTTGGTCTTGTGTAGCGGCCATCTTGAAATTGTGTCTTGCTAGCCAATCACCAATTTTTGCCAAAGGGCACCCTAAAATATATATTTACCACATATTGATATCGTAGATTGGATAGGTTTTTTTCTGCATTCTTTAAAAAGTATATTTTTTACTTGATTAACCATTTAAAAAGTGAATTAATACTGTTATTTTCACTTCATAGATATTCAGAAATTTGCTTTTGTATTTCCTTTTTATTTTCTCTTTGCTTTTTTCTGATACATCACTGAGAAATTAAATGTTTTGCATATGTGTTACAGTCTAATCTAAATTTGACCATTCATAGAATTCTGTTTAATTTTAAGTAAGATTTTAAACACTGTATTATATTTTAGAATTTCAGACATTAAGACATAACATTTTGTATATTGCTATTTCAGACATCAGATAAGATTAAAGCCCTTTTGATTGTGTTAACTATTTGGAGTTTATTGTAGCTTTAATGTCTTACATCATTGGCTTAGTATAAAATCTATTTAGATACTTATAATTTAACACCTCTGGCAGTCGATATCATACCTCTCTTTAACTGCTTTAAAAGTGAAATTCATTTGGAGATTATATTATTTAGATAATTTGTTTATGAACCGAATTATTCGTGATCCTGTGTTCCACTATATATGTATGTGTATATAATAATTTAGAGGTTGACTTTAGTTTCAACTCAACAGAGAACATGATTTATGGAGTGACAAAGATTGATGTATAAAAATTATAGTGGTAGGTACTGGTTGATTTAAATTTTCTTTATTCTTGATATGAATTACACATCAAATGGCTTTAATCTATGTGACCATTCTTGATCACATTTGTGCACTTTTACATTGTTATAATACTATATTGATGAAATAGAAGCCAGCAGTGATATGTTGGCAAAGTACCAAGTGAGAGCAGGAATGTGATGTGTCAATGAAAGTTTGATGCAGAGTGATTTATTTTTAGTTTAGCTTTATAGTAGCCTTTTTTATAGTAGCCTTTTTGGCTACTATAAAGTTCTGGTTCCCAAATTAAAAATCAACATTGACTAAATCATTATATAATTATCTGTATCACAAATATCATGTAGGAATGACACAGTTTAGAAAGGTTTATTATAATCAGTTACTATTTTTAGGATGGAAATGGGAAATAACCAAATTAAAATGTAGAGTCAATTGCAAATTAAAGTTAGAATTTTGATTTAAGTATTTTTATATTACATTCAATTTCATATGTATAATATATCTGAAAACAGCCAGAGTTATTTTTTTATCTACTTGGGGAAAAAACTGTTGCTTTATAGTATTTTGTAACATTCCTGTAATTGAATTTATTGGAGAATTTTATTATCACCAGAAGATATAATTTTAATAATTGAAAATATTTTCCATATTGAATTGTGGATACAATCATTGATATATTTCAAAATTTGCATATGGTTTTGTTTTTTCAAGTACTTGATTATTATTTTTGCAAGTTTTGTTTTTGGACTTTATTTATTTATTTTTTAATTTGTCAACTTTATTTGCAGTGTTTTTTAATTTGTCTAGTTTGTATTTTTTGCAATCTTTTTGAATTTATCTGTGTTTTTGATGCTACAATTTTTGCCCTTCTTACTGAAGGGATTAGACTGATAAATTCACAGATTACATTTATTGTTTTTCTAAGATTATTTTTAAATTTTAATCTTTAATTTGTGTCTCTGTCAGTTAAGATACAACCTATTTTCTTTATGTATTTATTCCATAGCTCCTGATGATTATGCAGTAAAAAATGTAAATATCATTTTTAATTTTTGTTTTTGGCATGTTTTGCCCCCCTTTCAATTTCTTGAAAATATTCCACTGTGCTTCTGTTTTCTGGTATTTGCATGTGGTTTTTTTAGAATTAAATATGGGTTTCCCCCCTTTCAATTTCTTGAAAATTTTCCACTGTGCTTCTGTTTTCTGGTATTTGCATGTGGTTTATTGAGAATTAAATATGGGTTTGCACTATTACCATCACTTGTCGCTGCTGTCAGCCTGCAATTGGACTATTCTGAACTGCTTTTTAATGAAAGTTTCCCGCCATTATCAATATATCATCTGCAAATATCGTCTGCGCAAACAGTCTGTATTAGCATGTTTAATCATATATTGTCAAAAGTTTTTTTTTTTTTTTTTGACATGTGAAAGAAAGAGACTTGCTTTAGAACACTATATTGTGAAATTTGTAAAAAAAATATCGCTATCATTAAATACAAGGTGTCTGAAATATAACTATCATGCTACCAAATTAGAACCATCATTTATTTCCAGCTCTGTTACAAAAAGTCAACTACAGAGGGTAACCAAATCATGTTTTATCATATGACACTGTGAAATTTTGGTACTGAAAGTGCTCTGGTTGGCCTACTGATGTTGATGAGGCCCGCCTGCAAGAACTTGTGGAAGAAGATCAGTATGCAACTACTCGAGAACTTGCTAAGGAGTTAGACATTACTGTCATGTCCATTAGTCGTGCTATGCAGCACATAAACGTAAAGTACAACTGGAAGAAAATTGGCATGTCATTTCAGAAAAAGTTTGAACATAACATATAAACTAACATGTTAATGCTATATATAAATCTAATATACATCCGAAAACTTGCTTTCGAGACACAAAAAACGCTATTTGAATTTGAATTTCTTCAATTGACCCTGTAGAACAGTAGATATAGAGCTGTCCCCCTTTTTTTCCGCAGTGTACAAGTTTAACCACTAAGTGCCGCATGAGCTTACTCATGCACATAATGACAGATGTGATCAGGCCTGTGCTAATCTGCTCGAATATCAATGCAAGGACAAAATTCTAGACCAGATAGTCACTTCTGATGAAAAATGGATTTACTTCAACAATATATGCTGAAAAAGAGGTTGGTCTGAGCCCTGTGTGCCTGTTGGCAGTGTTGCAAAGCATAATTTGATGAACAAGAAGATCATGCTTTGGTAGGACTTCCATGGTATTATCCACAAAGAGTATCTGGAAAAAGGTAAAACCCTCGGCAGCTAGGTGTACAGCGAGATGCTAGTCCATGTTGACGCTGCTATCAAGGAAAAACCTTGAACTTAGTTCCGGCACAAAAAGGTAATGTTCCATCAAGATAATGGAAGTCCACATGCATCTGCATTCACTGGCTGCACTCTATGCAGACTCGAATGGGACCTATTGCCACACCGTGCAGGTGTGAAAAAAGGTAATTCACACCTGCAGCTACATCTTGCTGGTGCTATCTTAAAAAACTACCAAAATATTGGCAGAAAATCATGTATTTGAGTGGTGATTACTACCCATACTGAAGGTACTGCTTTCATGTTTTTTTTTTTTTTTTTTTTTTTTTTTTTTTTTTTTTTTTTTTTCTAACTCTGTTAAGATTGTATTTTGGTGAAGAATTTTCGTTATGACCAGATGTATAACTATTCACTTATAAATACAGAAATTTTAAAAGTAATATATCAGTATTTAAAATGTTAATTGCCACATCTATACCAGTATATATCTCGTTGGCGTAGCCAGGTCCTGGACCACTCCTTGATAGACCTTGAACTTAAGGTGTGGAGGGGCTCCATCTTGCATGAAAATGATTTCCCCCAGGCATTGTCTTTGTTGAAGTGCCGGAATGACAAAGCTGTTCAACATGTGGCAATATTTCTCTTCGGTAACAGAACAGGTTTCTGGTCTTGTCGGGGTAATGTTCTCATAGAATAATGGACCTACGATAAATGAACTCACACCAAACAGTTACCTTTGGTGAATGTAAGGAATTGCTGTGACGCAGTGGTGATTTGTCATCCCAAATTCGGCATTTTTTCTGGGTATTCACAGTTCCATTCGGTAAAGTGGGGCCTCGTCTCCCCATAAATTTTCCACGACTAAGCATCATCCACCTCCATTCTGGCAAGAAACGTGAGAGCAAAAGTCCAATCGCTTATCATGGTTGGTACAGTAACTCCTGTACATAGCTGATCTTGTACAGATAGAAGTTGATAATCTTTCGTAGATTTTCCATACCGTACTGTAAGCATATTCTATTCCAAGCTACTCCGCGAGCGCTAGAGGTGGCAGTAATATTGTCTGGTCCTCTGTCGACAATCGCCGTGGCAACTGCTCCGATTGTATCCTGTGGTACAGGTTTTCATCCTCTACCTGATTGAACCTTCAGAGTTTTCTCAATGCACAACCATTGCTTTTAGCCCATTAACTGACACAGACCGTTCCTTTACGCAATTTTTTTTTTTTTTTTTTTTTTTTTTTTTTTTTTTTTTTTTTGTGCGTTCTAAAAGCACGAGAAGTGGCTGACGCGTTGCACTGGTTGAGGTAAAAGAACTTGACCGGTAATGCATGCTCGATTAAAGAAGGAGACATTGCACATAAACTTTCAATCCGATTGATTCGAACTAACAATTGCCTTTAAACCCAAGCAGCTGTACTCTGTGAATGGATTAACATGAAATTTGAATAAATAGCTTCTCTTTTCCGCTCAGCATACGTGATATTGCAGATCACAAGACTTTATCGGTGTTTATGTAGATTTACGCTTTTTTTAAAAGTGTTGCCATATTGAACTGAACTAAATCAGAAAATGTGCATAATAAAGGTATTTTTTCTGTATTAATTTGCATTTGTTACACTCTATTTTCTATTACACAGTGCCAAATATCCCCCTATGGTGACTTTTGGAACTATTTTGTTTTTTCGCGGAATCCTTCGTCTCTCCTCTTGTTTAATCTTCTTCTACAAAATGTGCATCATTTTCGAAATAGATCATGCTACAGAACCTGTGAGCACTGTCATTAATTATGGCCACCCGTATATATATATATATATATTTTAACTGCCTTCCATGTCCTGAAAATATAAAATAAGCGAATGTGTAGAGATAATATTGATGTATATGCATGTATTAATACATATTTAATCTTTCACTTTTTTTTTAACTGACAGATCATTATTTTTCATCATTTAATGGATAACATAATTTGTTCATTGGTGCTCCAGATAACATAGGTCAGCTATATGTTGAAATCTTTCATACCATTTAAATTTCTATTTTTGCAATAATTTTTATTGTAATTAATATTAGTTTTTAATCTATATTATTTTTTCCTCCTAGTTTTTACAAATGAACTGCTAGATGTTCTTGAGAACATGTTAAAAAAGTAAGTATGTTTATTCTGTCTTCTATCAGATCTTTGGTGTTGCCAGATCATGCAATCTTTTGCCATTGCTGCCTTTGATGAGGCTGTCTGCTATTTATGAAATTTTTTGTTCTCCATCATTTCCTTTGTGCTCTTTCATGAGACTTTAAAGATTTTTTAATAAAATGTTTATATATTAAAATAATGTATCTATTACAATTAATATATAAAAATAAAAAATTGTTAGTTTCAATGGGATCTGCTAATTCTGAGATCATAGAGCAGGTGCAAACACTTTTCAGCACTAGTTGCTGGTTTTCATGTGATTCATTGCTTTGCTTAATATTTTAATGATCTGTAGACAGGCATGTAAAATTTGTATCTGATTATAGCTGCTGTGTTAAAATATTAATTATGAATGAGAGGAAAATCTTAAACACCATCTTCTAAAATGCTTGGCCTAAAGTACCCGTGTTTAAGAACTGGCTAGAAAGAATGTAAAAACAAAAGGACCAAAGCTTTATTGCAAGTTATATTGTGAACTTGGGGCACACAAAGCTGATTTAATGTAGCTCAGTACTTCTTTAATGCATAAACAAAAATTCTCAACAAATCTTCCTTCAAAGTAGTATAAAAACTGCATTTGAAAAAGTGAACAAGTGAGTTTCAGTGCAAACTTTCTGTATTTGTTGCTTCGCATGCATTCATACAGTGATCATTTGAGTGAGATTTTTAAGAAAGAAATGCCATCAAAGAAGCTAGAAACAGGCTCTAAAGATCCATCAAATTATTGCCCTTGCCCTATTGTTCTTACAAATTGCCTTTATAAATTTTTAGAGAAATATATAATGTGTACACCACAACTTTCTAGTACGGAATATTAAATTATGCGCATTTTTTCCCGCATTTCATTTAAACTCATTGAACTGAATTAAATCTACTTTGTTGATAGCACATAAACCACAATAGAATAAATGCACTTTTTAAAATTCACTATATTTTTTTTATCATAGCCATACTGTGGTGCTAGGTTCACTTGACACTGCTACATCTCATTCATTTTACAACTCGCAATGCACAAAAATTACATCATCTGAAGAATTATCTAATCATTCCCACATGTTCTATTCAAATACTATAAATCTACTTTGTTGATAGCACATAAACCACAATAGAATAAATGTACTTTTTAAAATTCACTATATTTTTTTTATCAAGCATACTGTGGTGCTAGTTCCTGACACTGCTACATCTCATTCATTTTACAACTCGCAATGCACAAAAATACATCATCTGAAGAATTATCTAATAATTCCCACCAGTGGCGTAGCGAGAGGGGGGCATGGGGGTGCATGATGCCCCGGGCGCCGCTCGTAGAGGGGCGCCAAAGGTCTCCAAACAAGATTTCCGGAAATTTCAGTTATTTTGATCGATTTCTGGAAATATTTAAAAACTTAAACTATTGTAATTTTTTATATAGTAATTATTTATTTTCTTGATTTGTTTGATAAAATTGTAACAAACTTTTGCAGTACACAACCAAAAAACGTTCTTCCTACACTTTATTTCTCCAAGTAGAGATATTTATATTTTTTTTTAAACGAATGCCGTATATGTTCTGCTTTTTTTTAAACGATTTCTCAACAATCCAGTTTTCTAACCCCCGATCCATAATCTGGAAATGACATTTTGGACAATTCTAACGCTTCCGCTACAATGATTGCGTTTGACTCTCTGTAAACGACGATTCCTTCCTGGCTACCGATTCAACTATTCTCTTGCTGAGACATCGTATCTTCACTGCTACGAAGCAAAACGCATGTGAATTGTTTAATCTCCTATTACAAAAGGAATCTGCAGGTCGTCCCACTCCTTATCTAAAACGCATAGTTTTGACGTCACCAGACTAAATTTTGCATATTCCCACTTTGAAACGTTACAATTTTTCTTATAAGCTTCTATTTTCCTTTGTTTCAAAGGTTGTTGATATATGGTTATTTCATACCGAACCCAATCCCCCTAATTGTTTTGAGCTGAATGTGATATATGACGTTACTCCGCAGTAGAAAAGAAACGGAACCTAAAACTCCATTACAGATCAATAGATAAAAGTTTTCCAAACC